AATTCTATTTATATAGCATTCTTGAAAAGACAAAATGGCAGACATGGAAAACAAATTAGTGCTTCCCAGGGGTTAGGGATAGGGTATGAGGGGAAGAGGTGGGAGTGGGTATAAAAGGGTAACACGAAGGATCCTGTGGCAATGGAACTGTTCTGTATCTTGACTGTGGTGGAGACTATACAAACCTAAAAATTGGTACCATTATATAGAACTAAATACACATGGGGTACATATAAAACTGGGGAAGTAGGAAGAAGACTGGTGGATTATGTTAACGTTAATTTTCTGGTTGTGGTATTCTACTGGGTGGAGGAATGGAATTCAAGGGAGAGAGGGTGGTTAGAGGGAAAAAATGTGTAATAGGCTCTTTAGAGAGGCAATAATGAAAAAAGGTTGCGACACAATGTGTTAAAACAACCTTTCATTCATTAGCTAAACACAATTTAGACATGGTTGTAGTCATCCTTTTCATAGATCACTAGATTCTCTTTGATAATGATTTGTTTGGGGTTTTTCTATCTATGTCCATGATTGAGATTCATCTGTAATTCTCATATTGGAGAATATAAGTGTGAATAAGGTACACTTTGTCGGGTTTTGATGTCAGGAAATGCTAACCTCATAGGATGAGTTGGTGAGGGATCCTTCCTTTTCTGTACTCTGGAAGAGTTAATGGAAGATTGAAATATTTTTTTCCTTTAAAGTTTGGTATAACTTTTCCATAAAACCATCTGGCCTGACATTTTCCTTATGGGAAGGTTTTAAGGTCTGATTAATTTTATTTCATGGTTATTGGATGGTAAGGTTTTTAATTTGCTTCTTGAATCAGTTTTGAAACGTTACGTTTTCCGAAGTCTTCTATAGTTCTGTTTTATCTCTGTTTCAAATGTATTGGTGTAAAGACATCCGTTATTTTTCTTCCTTGCTTCCTTTTTATAGATAATATTTGTAATTTGTACCCTTTTTCGTTCTTAATGTTATTTGTGCTCTTTTTTCCTTGATTTTTCTCAATAGTTTTTCAATCCTATTAGTTTTCTCAAAGAATTATTTGCCTATGTATGTTTTAAAATTTTTCAACAATTTATGCTTTTATGCTTATTATTTTGTTTTTTCTAACATTTTTTGGTTATTTTGCTCATCCATTTGTAACTTGATAAATTGGAAGTTTATCATATTACATTTAAGTTCTTTTCTAATGGAAGCAATCAACTTTCCCTGATAATACTTCTTACTGGCATTCTTTTTTTTTTTTAATTAATTTTTTTTTATGGTGACGTTCCTTAACGAAATCCAGTATGTTTCAGCTATACATTTTAACAGTAAGGCGTATATATATTTACATTTCAGGTGTGTTCACCTCCCATAGTTAGATTTCTTTCTGTCACCAAATATTTGACCCCTTTTAATTCCCCTACCTTACCTGCATTCTTAAAGTTTTCATATAGTAATTTCATTATTGTTTGGTTCTGAATATTTTCTAATATTCATTGTGATTCCTTCTTTGACTGATGAATTATTTAGAAGAATGTTTATTTTCTAAAATTTTCAGATTGCCTTTTTTAGATAAATAGATATATAGAACACTGCACTCCACAGGTGAAGAATGCATATTCTTCATAATCACACCTAGAACTTTTATGACAAGTGACCACATACTATGGCATGAAGAAAATTTTAACAAACGTCAGAAAATTGTTATCAAACACACCATGAACACAGATAACTATTATGACCATTAGATCAGTTCGTTGTTTATATATCTTCCATTTCCTTGTTTATTTTTTTTTGCCTGCTTGATCTGTCAGTTACTGAGAGAGATATGTCTTTATATCTCCTATTATGATGATGAATATTTCTTGCTTTCTGTAGTTCTGTCAATTTTTACATTAATAACTTTGAGACTATATTATTAAGTATATAAAAATTTATAATAATTATTATATATTTTTGATGATTTGAAATGTTCACCATTTTGTTTTAATCCGCTCTCTGATGATGCTTTTTACTTTAAAGTTTATCTATAGTTTATAATATATAGTTTTTTTTATTAATAATTTATCTTGTATGGCTTTCCCATCCCTTTACTTTCATCATCAATGAATCTTTATATTTTAGGTGTGTCTTTTGTAACCAGGATTTTGGATTTCACTTGCTTATTCATCCTGACAGTCTTTTCTTTTAGCTAGCACATTTATTCCATTTATGTTTATTATCAAATACTGATTCAGTTTTATTTCTATCTTATGTTTCTTTTCCTCACCTTTTCTTCCTTCTTTAGATCGGTTTATTGTTTTTGTTTCTCTAAACTGTCTTTATTTTACTCTTGCTCTTTGAAGATCTCTTTACTGAGTATACAGTCCTGTTTGATCATTATTTTCTGTCAGTGCATTGAATTGTGCTTTGGTTTCTCTTGCTGTTGAGAAGGTGGTAGTCAGTCTAATCATTTCTTTGAAAGTAATCTTATTTAAGATCTTCTCTTTGTCCTTGGTCTTATATAGTTTTGATGTCTACTTGTGGAGTTGTTACCCTGTTTGCAATACCTTGAGATTTCTAATCTGACAAATAAAATCTTTCATAAATTCTGGGAAATTCTTAGCCAGCATTTTTTCAAAATGTTCGCCTTCTCTTTCCTCCCTGCTTTTAATTTCTCTTTCATATTTTCAACTCTTTGTCTCTCTATGCTGTCCAGTTTTGTATTTGTAGTAGTATTTTTTCTTTTCCAGAAGTTCATTTAGTTCTTTTACAATGCTATGTGCCCCTTTCTCATGTTTTCACTTTCTTTTATTCTTGTTTCTTTAAACATGTTAAACACTTATATTTTCTGCTTAATAATTCTAGTGTCTAAATTCTTTGCAGGTTTGAGTCTGTCTGCTTCCTCCGTCGCACCCTGCCCCTTCCCAATACCCCCTCTCCTTTACCCCCCACACCTTGCTGGCTCTCTGGCTGTTGTTCATAGTAACTTGATTGCTTATATATTTAATGATTTATTTATTTATGATTTTTTTAAAAACCACATGCACATCAACTTAGGAACATTCTGAGAAGGCTGGTTTTAAAGTATCTTTCTCCAGAAAGGATTAGTATTTGCTTTTCCCAGGTGCCTGAGGCCACTACCAACCTGGAAATACTTCAACTAAATTCTCAGACTGGAGGCTTTTCAGACCACACAACTGGTTTTAGGTGCAAACTCCTATGTGGGACAGCTTGTGGTTATAAATTCTCAGGTTTTTTTCTCTCTACCCTGCACCCAGGCTTAAGGCAGATAATTCTTTTTTCTTATCCCCACCTTGGGCTTGGGGGTTATTTCAAGTTTACTCTTTGACTGAGGCTGCTCAGAATTCTAGCTTTATGCATCAAATCTGTTAGATTTCCCATCTTGGGTTTACCCTAGTCCCCCACCTCCCCACCCTTTGCATTCTTTACAAGATATTTAAAATTCCAACTCAAATTTCTTCCTAGTTTATTCACAGTTGTCAGGGTGTGAAAATCAAGTTGTGTGCTCTGCTTACCATTTCTGGGTTTGAGGTTTCATTTGGCCTCTGAGAATTCTTTACTTTCTGGCTCACCGCGTATTGTATTTTAAATAATGTTATTTTGCTTCATCTGTCGATGTAAGAATGTTCAAACTATAGAGAATTTTTATAATAAATTATTTGAGCCAAATAAAGGATACACCTGGAAGCAAGATCTTAACAGACTGAGAAAAAGGCTTCCAAAAAATGACAGTTTGCAGCTTCTTTTATGCACTTGGAATTAAGGAGGAAATGTAAGGAAGATTACTTGAAGGTGGGAGAAAGCTAGGCGGGGATGAGATTACAGGATAGATAACAAGATTATGTGCTCTCTTGAGGGCGGTGGAAATTTAGAAGGAGGGGTCTGAAAAGAGTCTTTTCAAAGGTGTTTTAACCTAGATGCCCAGAAACTATGGACAGGGCTTGTGTAAGGCAAAGATAAACCTTTTACGAAAGAAGTTACCTGCCTAGGGCGTCATTACCCACCTTGACCCACCTAGTTAGGAACTTATGATCAGATTACCCTGTGAGGTTGAGGTTACTTTCCATAGAACCCCTGCCCTGCACCTCTCCTCATCCCCGCTGCTGCCCCCCCCCCCCCCGCTTTGGTGGTGTTGAACCATGAGCACACCAGATAGAAACCATCTATATGCCTTGTAAATGCCTGAGAAAATACGGAGTGAAAATTCTCTGTAGTTTTAGTCTATTGCCATGCCACCCTGAACGTGCCCAATCTCATCTGATCTCGGAAGCTAAGCAGGGTCGGGCCTGGTTAGTACTTGGATGAGAGACCATTTAGGAATACCAGGTGCTGTAGGCATTTAAAAAATAAAATAAAATAAAATAAATTCTCTGTAGTTTTATATTTATACCATGTTACAAATACAGCTATTTATTCTTTCTTCCCTCTTAAATCTCAATGTTCCCTTCCTATGTCTTAATCTAACTCTATAATTTTGATTTTCCAGCCAGGAGAACTGACTTGATCTTCTTGAACAAGCTACCTAACTTCTCTGAGTCTGTTTCCTATTGTGTAAAATAAGACTACTGCTTATTTCTCAGGATAGCTGGGATGAGATAGCATTTGTAATGTGTCTGACATGTCATGGGTACTCAATAAATCCCAGTTTCTTTTTTATTCTTCCTTCCCTGTCCACACTATTTTCAGCTCTCATTTTCAGTACTGAAATTTGGAATAAGATTCTTATGTAATACCATGGAGAAACCTTGTGGAAGGCAATAAACTGGACAAATTAGGAACATTAGTAAGATTTATTTTTGATTTGAGGGTCATGAGTAGTAATGATTTTGGTACTGACTCACAGTGGGGTCCCTGTCAGTATCATGAGTGATACTGCCTATACTGCCTTGCCTGTGTGCCTTTTTAGATTTCATAGGATCTGAGTAACATGAAAGTAAGACAAACACAAAGATAAACAAAATACACCCATTTATATTGTATGTTTTTGGTTTTTGGTCTATCTCCAGGCCTACCATTGACCATGCCATGCTGGACGTGCCCTTCCTTCAACTCCCTGGGGAGATGCCCGCTGACCTCTGAGAGCAGCTGGACCACACATTCTGAAGACACCAGTAGTCCTAGTTGTGGCCCCTCGTACACAGACCTGCAGCTCATTGGCGCAGAGGAGCAGATGAGTGGCAGGGCCTCTGGGGCTGACTCGACTGGTAAGACGGAGCACCAAGCCAGAGGGCTTTGCAAATCACTTTTGGTGACCTGTTGCCACTCTTAAAATCTCTGCAGAATGAGGTCAGACGTAGTCATCCAGTTAAAAAGCTAGAATCCTGAGTGGTTAAAAATTTCATTGGAAAAAAGCATGTATACAGATTGGTTGATTGGTTGGTAGATGATTAATATTGGGAAACCATTTGACAGTCTGTCTTAATGTGTTGTTTTCTGAGGGTTCGGTACAAGTCCTGTTCCCTGTCAATTCAGTTTCTCCTTGGATAACTAACTACATGAAATATGCACAAGGCTGAATCTGTTATCCTGCCACCCACACATCTTTCTTCTTCAGCAAGAGAGATTTTAGCAGAGAAAAAAGTAAATGTTATGTGAAACAGAATGAAAATCAGGACTCAGCCACTGTGTCTAGGCTACAAATCATTTTGCAGTTATGTTTATTCTATCGTGCCTGAATTGAGCTATACATCAGTCTCTAACATCCTGTGGTTTATTCATTAAGTTTCCCGTAGGTGTAGGATGAACTGCTGGCTGGCTTTGCAGGTGGCATATGGACTTGTCAACAAGCACCACAGTATGGGTTAGGACAACATTGCAAACATGTTGTGTATTCTTGGTGTTTTGGTTATTTTGCCCAAGAGATTGTTTTCTTCTGAAAATAATGGAGTTTCTAGTAGTTTCTCTGTGCCTGGAATTACCCAGCATGTCCAAGAATAATTTGTTTTTCCTTCTCAAAAATGTTGTTTAGGAATTTGTTTCTGGATCATTTTTCAAACTTGGGTAACTAACATTCGCCCTCGTACTGTGTGCTATTGGGGACGTTCTACAAGGAGAGAGATCTCTCTTGCAGACGAAAGGGTTCAGACAGGATTTAGTTTGATATTTGATAATATTGCAAGGAATCCTAGTTTATCACAGTCTCTCTCTTCACAAGCTGCAGTTCTTTACAGCATTTTGTTTTCACAGACACTCTCTCAATTCTGGTTGATCTCCATGGCTGATGATCCGGTCAGTGTCTGAAATATTCCCCCACCCCATTTCCACTGTGGGGAGCATTTCTGGATGCAGCCCCAGCCGTGGGAACCCCATCAGGCTCTTCCTGAACATCCCGACCTGTGTAATCAGGGTGGAGTTTTGTCTTTGAAAAGCCTTTAACTCATCTTGGATCCCAGGGTAGAAGGAGGATAAGGAAAAACAAGGTTTAGGAGAATGACCAAGTACTTCTAAACCTGGCATTTATCCATCTACCCTAGCAGTGGGGAATTTATAAGTACTTTCAATTGAGCTATTGAGAGCTTCAAAGATTCTTTACACATTGGAGAGTTCTCCAGCCAAGTGACTCTCTGTCTTCCACTCGGCTGCAGGCCTGTGGCAGTGCCTTGTACCTCTTCCTAACCTTTGTTTATTAAAAATATTTTTTTAGTTTGATAGTTTTATTTTTAGGGGAAAACAGGCATAGTTGAGAAATAGCTAAATTCCCCAAACTCCACCCATAGAAAGCCTTGGTACTTTCACAGCAAAGTCAGTGTGATTCGCCTTATGGCAGATTAATGAAGTGGCAAAAAGCACCCAGGAGGAAATGAATAGTGTCACTCATGGACTGGAAACCCAAACCTGTAAATCCATGGCAAATGTCACTGCACTTACGGGGAGTGGGGGTAGGGATGGCGGGGAGAACACCTTAAGTGATTCTTCTTTGTATGTCGAAGATTTTATCTTTCAAACTTTTTAGGGACATCCATTTCATCGAATAAACCTTTGTAAAATGCCACAGGGGCTGAGGGACACAGGGCAGCAAAGGGCAAGGCTGGCAAGAATTTCCCACCAAAGAGTATAAATGGGCTTGCCCACACTGGGTTCTCCAGGGTTCCACTGAACCAACTGCCGCTATCCCTCCATGCCCAGAACTTGAGAAGGGAGCAGGGCCCGCCCAGAAACTGGTGTCTGACAGACCCCGCCTGTCTTGGCTGCCTTTCGCAGGGTTCCACCTCCCAGATTCACCACCCTGGGGCTCAGAATCCTCCCTATCTGTCTGTAGCCTTGTGGTAAATGACAATCCCCCCCACCCCCCGCCCCTACTTTTTGATCATTTGCATCTGAATCTCTGATTTACAGGTTCAGGGAATGTATCACAAAGTTTTCAACCCTCTCCCAGTGAGGATTATTAAATGCACTCAGCCTCAACCACTCCCCATTTCTCTTGCAATTGTGTGTGTTTTCTCATAAAACTAAACTTGGACACACACACACACACATACACACACACACACACACACACACACACACACCATGTCTTATTGTCTCTGTTTTTGTTTTGTTTTTTTAAACTGAAGCTTCCGTAGAATAGGGCATCGCTGTGTGGCTCTGAGCGTGGTAGCCATGGGTATGTCCCCCACCAAGGACAGAAACTCAGAAAACTGAATCTTCTCACCCTTATTCTTGCCTTTTTCTTCAAAGAAACTTTGTTTTGTCACTGTCCTTGAGGAAGTTGGGAAAATTCTCCTTCAGCTTCTTTCACAGGCCTGTCTTGTCAGTTGTCATCAAGTCTGATGTGTCTGTGGGACTGGTCGATGGGGCCCATCTCTGGGAGAGCCCTCCTTCAAGGCTGAGTGGTTCAGTCAGGGCGAACTGAATCCCCTGAGGCTATGGAGCAGACTCTCATCTGTCTATTTCCTCTAGGCACGTCATCTCCCCAGAGCTTCCCTTCCTTCCTCACGGTTGAGTATCCTGCCCGGGTGGGGCTACAGGGCGTGAGGGAAGGTGCCTTGTACAGTGCCAAGCGCTGTAGGAATAAAAGAAAATTCCTAACTTAATAGCTCTGCGCCTCATTTCTCTTTTATATGGGACATGAGGATAATTATAATTACTGCCGACTCCTTTCTTGCCCTAAAGAGGACTGTAAACTACATGTGTGGTGGGATAGGATCCGAGAAGGGCTTTGCAGTTCTCAGCAGTGAGCCATGGGTAAATGCAGAGGCCTGTGGGTCTTTGAGGGAGCTGCCTTGGGAGACTGTTGCCATTTATCTGCCCCCCACGTTCACCCCCATGCCTTTTAGCATTGTAGAGAGAAGTAAGGGGTGAAGACGAACTCTCTCAGCCTAGCTGGCCCAGCTGGCCTGGACTTTCCCTGGCAGCGTGCTGTGTGAGGAAGCTACTGGGGCAGATGCTCCGTGATTCACCTGTGTGGAGAGGGATTATGGAGGCCCAGGCCCAGGCTGTTTACCTTGGCCCCATCACTCCATATTAGAGGCACCGAGCCGCAGCCTCCCATCATCTGAGGCAGGCAGGGACCTGGCAGCCCCACTGGGCAATCCCGATTCCCAGCATAATTGTAGAGGGACAGACTATATTTTCTTATTTTCTCACTAAGGGGATAATTAGGAGGAGCAAGGCAAACAAATCTCCTTACCTTGGCTGAATCATAGAGTGGGGCAAAGCTGGAGAGCAGTGTTGACGTTTGCTCTGGAGTTCAGCTCTCCTGAGCAAAGGACAGAACTGGAAATAGGCAAGTTCCCTGATAACACTGGCTTCCTCTCTCACCTCCTATGTCCCCAGGGCCCCCTTTCCCTAGATGACAGGCACACCCTGCAGGGTAGCCCTGTAATGCCACTAGTTTTACATAGGTGGATAAACAATAAAAGGGTCAGGGGAATAAAAATAAGCCTTTGAAGTTCATTGCAACTAGGAAAGAGAAAACATAGAAATGTTTACAGTGACACAAGCTACTATTAAGTATTCGGCTTCCATTTCGGTTTCTTTTTAAGCACAAGAAATTGTAGATTTAAGCATGGGGTTAGAATGCCCAGGCATATATACAAAGCAAGGAACAACAACACTGGGTAACACATAGCAGGTGTTTAATAATTGTTTGTTGAATGGATCCATGAATGAAAGGAATGAGATTGCATGCGGTGAGTCATCTGCATCCCAGACATCTGTATTTCATTTGGGTTTAAGAGTTCAGCATTTCTCCCAAGTGTGTCCCATACAGCAGCCCAAGAAAAACCAGGATGCTGGGGGCCAGTGTGTTAGGTCATACTGTGTCCCCTCTGTTGAAGTTTCATAGCGTCTGTTAGCTTATTAAAGACTTTGAAAATACCTGTAATTATTTGGATGGATGGACATATGTGTATTTCTACATTTATGTATAATTTATACTTATATGTGTGTGCGCACACACACAGACACACACACACATATATATTTATATACACATATAAGTAAATTTAGTCTCTTTAACCCACATTTCCTACCTGGTCATCTGGTACAGGAACCCAAATATACATAAATTGGCAAATTTGACTTAGAGGTGCATGCCATTGCTAAAGTGTTGGGAAACCAGAGAAACCAGAAAAGAATATTTTGACAAACTTTCCTGGATTTACAAAGTTAGCCTTACTTTGTCACAGGCTCTGCTACACCTTTTGACCTTTTTTTTTTTTAATTGTAAATTAAGGAATCTGCATTTTGCCAAACTTTCTTTGTATATAAACCCTCATGGGCTTTAAAACAAATGCAAGCCAGATGTTCTTGATTCATTTGCATTTAACTGATCACAGCAGAATTCTGCCAGAGCAGTAGGATATCCCCAGGGATTTTGTACTCTTTTTTTTTTCTTTTTCCTTCTCAAAAACAAGTGTTTATGCTGGGTAGAAAGCTATGGACTCCAGATCCCAATTTTTGTAACAAGAAAGTTTACTCAGTCATTATTGGTTAAGGATGATAAAAGAGATCATCACTGGGGCTGTAAGTGTCTTTTCAAGATGGTACACATTTCTTCTCTGTTGCCTGTTTTGTCATAATCCTGATGCAGCTAGAAGAGCATAGACCAGATCCAGGGGCCCAGATTTCCAGTAAACTAATTATCATTGTGCATAATGGAGTTACAGGGGATCCTTTTTGTTTTTGAGACATATTCGTATTTTAAGATTTTTTTTTTTTTTACCTTGAGTATGTTTTGCTTGGAAGACAAAAATAAGTCAACTTATTTAAAATTCTTTTCCCCCTAGCTACAACCCTGAGCAGGTTGTTTCCTGAGTTTTGCTCTAGGTCAGGGTCCCCGTATTACCTATGTGACCTTTGGATGGAGTGTTCTTCGCCTGGAAGTCATCTGTCTCCTACCAAACTCGGGTCCTCCAGGGCAACAGTGATGTTTTCATATTCGCTTTGTCCCCATGGTCCGGTCTCCAGCGCAATGCCTGGACCTGAGGTGGTGGCCAATGAATGTTTTTAGTTATATCTCCTTTTTTTAGCCACATGTATCAGCATTATGCCCTTGCCTCCCACCTCAGGAAAAAAGAAAACTTCAAAATACCTTGGTCCCAAGTACTCGGGTCTACAAAGATTCGAGTTTTTAATGAATTTACTGAATATTTAATTTAATTTAATTTTTATTTATTTTAAATTTTTTTATATTTCTTTATTTCTTTATTTTTAGCATTTTTTTAAAAAATTTTTTCCTCCTCACTCCCTTCCCTCCCCCTCCCCCTCCCCTCTGGTAACCACTAGTCCATTGTCCATGTCTCTGAGTCTCTATCCTGTTCATTTGTTGCTTTTAGGTTTATATCCCACATATAAGTGATATCATGTGATTTTCAACCTTTTCTGTCTGTCTTATTTCGCTTAGTATAATTATTTCAAGGTCCATCCATGTCGTTGCAAATGGCAGTATTTCATCTCTTCTTATGGCTGAGTAATATTCCATTGTATATATGTACCACAGCTTCTTTAGCCAGTCATCTATCGTAGGATACTTCGGTTGCCTCCATGTCCTGGCCACTGTGAATAATGCTGCTATGAACATTGGTGTGCAAATATCTTTTTGGATATGAGTTTTCAAGTCTTTGGGATAAATACCCAGTAGTGGGATTGCTGGATCATAAGGTAGATCAATTCTTAGTTTTTTGAGGAACCTCCATACTATTTTCCATAGAGGCTGTGCAAATTTGCAGTCCCTAAATATTTTAAATGTAGGTAATTGGATTCAATTGTGAAGAATGGCGTGTCCTACTTTAATTAGCTTCCCAGGTGAGTGAGATAACATCACTGATTTAAATGAGACTAGAAATTGCTCACTAAATCTTGTGCAAACCATTCCACACCCAGCAAAGTCAGGCTTCAAAAAGAATGGCAAGCTATGCCTTTTTCAGGTAATATTAACTTAAACCCAACAAAATATCAGTGGACATGAAGTACTCAAACTACGGTGGCTGGCACATAGTGCCCACTCCCAAGTTCAATGTCATCTGCCCTGAAGCCTCTGAAAAATAGGTATTTCCTTTAACTATGACAGACCTTTAAACTTAGAAGAAATTTAGGAGATTATTTAGTAGAATTTATCCATTTTATGGGTAAGAAAGCCAAGGCCTAGTAAGTGTTAGCAGCAGAGCCAGGCCTTGTAATTCCTTGTCCCTCCCCCACTCTGGGAATCATCTAAAAACCTAAGAGATTGGCCAGGGACAACTGGTTATTTTTAATTTCATTCCTCTTCGAACGTTTTCATCGTCTTTCTTTTTTCCCCCTGAATTAAACAATGGGGCCTCTTTCTCAAGAGTTTGGTTTATTTATGAAAAAGTTAAAAGCAGTAGTGCCAATGGCAATGGACACCCTCAGATCCAAGAAAACTTTTTTTTTTTTTAAATATAATGCAACTAACATTTATTATCTCATAGGTTTTGTGGGTCAGGAAATGAAGTGTCATTTAGCTGGGTGGGTTCAGGATCTCTAGAGACATTGCAGTCACAAAGTCGACTGGGGTTGCTGCCCCCCGAATGGGGCTGGAGAGTCTGCTTCTTAGGCGTCAGCAGAGTTGGTTCCTTCTGAGGCCTCTCTACTGTTGCTTCACGTGGTCTTGTCTTTGTGAGTGTCTGTGTCCTGGTATCTTCTTATAAGGACGGTCATAGTGGATTCAGTCCACCCTGATGACCTCATCTTAACTGCACTACCTCTTTAAAGACCCTGTCTCCAAATACAGTCATACTGAGGTACTAGGGGCTGGGATACACAATTCAGCCCATAACAGCAGGCAAACCCAATTTAGCAGTCTTCTTTCTCTGTGCAAGACAGCCAGATTGACACTATAAACCATCCTAGATAGTCTTTCTGGACCCATCATTAGCAGTGCCACTTGGTATAAAAACTGATCTTGTTTCTGATACTCTACTTATAGCCTACTTCCCACAGCTATAGAAAGGAGAAAGGAGTTGTTTATGCTTAATAAACCCCTCAGTCAGCCTCTTCACCTGCTTATCCATAGAATGGCTTGATAGTTCACCAAGGAGCTGGTTAATCCTGCTGGACTCATTGGCTTACATGACAATTCAAAAGTAAATATGATTAGTGATAAAAGCTCTAAATGAGATAGCCTTTTTTTTTTTTTTTGGAATATAGCCTATGGGAAATACAGTCATTAAGTAAATAATTAATTGGATGATTACAAGTGTGCAGATTAGTCTCCTGCCTTCAGGATCAAATCCTGATTCTTTAGTGTTACATCCTTACTGAACTGGCCCCTGGGCACCTCATCTCCTCCGTCTTTTTTCATACCCTCCAATTTAGTTTTTCTGATGCCCCCATACTTTCCACGTCTTAAAACAAGCAATCTTTTTGTCTTTCCTGCTCCAATTCTATAATTCTCTAAACCTCCACTCAAGATTTCATTTAAAAAAAATATATACAATCACAAAAGAAGAAATGCAAAGAAGTGATGTGGAAAGACGATTAATCCCCATAATCACTTGTGCAGATTAAATAGTTCAGTCTGTCGGCTTGGTAAAGTTTAAATGGTTGAAAGCACGTAGAGCTGGGAATGAGAGTTGGGCATTTGCGTGCGAGGATCGTGGAAAGACCTTTCTGGAGGGTATTCTAGCCGTTGGCGTTAGTTTAAATGTCATACTCTTTAACTATTAGCTTATCCCAAGGAAATAGTTAGACATGTGCCAGTGTATACTATGCAGCACTCTTTATATTAGCAAAAGCAAACAAACAAAGCCAAAATACCCAACCAAATATCAAATAAAATGGAATGCTATGCAGCCATGGCAAATGTCCCAGTTATGTTAATTGAAAAAGGTAGGTTGCAGAATAAAATGTGTGATCATTTGGCTGTATTAGACTGTGTATAGTTTTCTTATATCAGCATGTATGTGTGTATATACATATGTGTATATACATACACATAAACATATTTCTGTTTATACATATATAAAACAGTTTGATGGTGTATCAATCTAAAACTGCTAATGTTGGGTATCTTGGGGTGGAGATACTTCATTTATTTCTTTTTTCATTTATTTATTTCATTTATTTCTTCATTCATTACTTCATTTATTTCTATAGGATCTGAGTTATTTATGATAATAATCACTAAAAATCAAAAAAAATATGAATGAAAATATTTCCATTTAGAAATAAAACTAAATATGTTACTGGAGCTATTTTAAAATTTCTTTCATGAAATGTGTGTTTGTTTTGGGGGTTGATCTATTTGAGGGATGAGTGCTGGCCAGTTTGCTTTGGCGGGGCTAGTATTTCAAATATTGCTGTCTTTTTTCTGTGAAAGAGCCATGTGCTTGTGTTTAACTTTTTACCACATAATGCTAGTTGCTTATTCTTTGCAGGAAATGGATATGATATGATGGAAACCATAACCTTCTGACTCTGACAGACCAGAGTCAGACACCAGCTCTGCTACTCTCCTGCTCTGTGGTATTCAGCAAATTATTTAACCTCAGTGACCTTTAAGTTCTTCAACTATAGAACAGAAATAATAATGATAATACTGAGCTTGCAGTTTTGATCAGAGGATTATAGAGAAGTCCTGGAATATAATAGGGAATAGCTATTACGATGATAGCAACATAATGTAGTTTTCAGAATTCTTCATATTTTAGAACTAGGATTTAATCTGTGGGAAGAAAATTTTTTAAAGTTGTGAGAAAACAGCTAAGTTGAACCCAGAAGAAGTTCTATTTTATGTCCTTGCCTAGTTTTTGTAAACTGCATTTACAGAAAAGCAGTTTCTTTTATCCTTTTAGTTCTCATTGACTAATGGGTGGACTCACTCAACATGCTTTGTGAAACCACTTGTGTCTATGGCATTTTTCTGCAGAATTAGAATCAGGAATAAAAGCTTTCCTGAGGAGAGGTGGGGGTGGGCACCGGGTGGGGGTGGGGAGCATCGGCCAGGTTTACTTTCATAAATTGTCTCCCCCTCCTCCTCTTCAAGATTGGTTTGTTTGTACAAATTGGTTGCCTCAAGCAACACATTATTAGTTTGAGCCTGAATGTATCCCGAGAGACTTACTGCTTTCTCTTTGCCAAGCAATTGTCCTTTTCCTGCAGAGAATGCTGGGATTGTGGGGGCATTTTCCACTTGGGCATATTTCATCTAGTTCCCCCACCTTTCACGGAGCATGTGCTACTTGTAAGGCACTGCGTCATTCCACTGCATTTAGAGAGCAACCAGTTGTGAGCTGGTAATCTTTATTTTCAACTCCTGGACTTTTCTTCCTTCCTTAGACCCTCAGTACTGGTGTCTAAGTAAAGAAGAGATGATATTCCTGCCCCGTTGACATCAGGTTTGGCCTTATGACTCGCATTTTGGCCAGTAAAATGCAGGTGGAAGTGACACTTCCAGTGTAGATTTCCATCTGTTTCCACCCCGCTCCTTTTTCCCTTTGTCAGTCACCCATACTGCAGCACATGCTGCCCTCAGCTTGGATTCTATTCTGGGGCTCCTCTCCTCTGGCTTCCCTTGTCCCACTCCCCACCTTCCAGACCACAGTCCACGTACCCAGGACTTCAGGCTTCTGCACCATTTTTTACCTGTACATTACGCCTCTTACAGTTACTTGCCCTGAAGCCCTCTGTCTTACTCTCCTTTCCCTGTGGCCCTAATTTCCTCATCCTTAGAAAGACTGGTGTATCCTTCCCCCTGGGCCCTAATTTCCTCATCCTTAGAAAGACTGGTGTAATATCCTTTCCCCTTGGTTGCTGAGCTGCTGTCATTCCACTTTTTTAAATAAACTCTAGTGTCCACTTCCACTATCTTTTGCCCAGGTCGTGTATGTCGTATTTCTGACTTTGGCCCTTGACTTAAGTCTTCTCCAGTCCCATTTTCCTCTTAATGATATTTCTAGTGCTCTCACTATAACAGTCGCTGCCTGAACAACTCTCAGTTTGAAGGATGTGCTCTCTAGGGAGG